ACAATTGTTGTTTGAATACACATGTATTTATAGACCTGTTAGTTTATCTTCTATAGTTGGGAAGATACTAGAGATTTTAATAAAAGACCACATAGATGAGTCCTTGCTGAAAAAAATATTTGAAGCAACAGACAGCATGGATTCATGAAAGACAGAAGTTGTCAAACAAATCTGATTTATTTTTATGAGGTGAGCAAAACCTTGGACAGAGGGGTGGCAGTGGACGTGGTATACTTGGATTTTGCAAAAGCGTTTGACACAGTTCCCCACACACGGCTAATGTGTAAGGTAAAGTCTAGGGGCTTGGAAAAATCTGTATGTAAATGGATAGAAAACTGGATAAAATATCGTTTTCAGAGAGTAGTGGTTAATGATTCATTCTCTGAATGGTGTAGGGTCGTCAGTGGTGTACCCCAAGGTTCAGTGTTCGTACCCTTACGTTTTAATATATTTATAAACAATATAGGGTCTGGGATTATAAATCCCATTTCAGTCTTTGCAGATGACACCAAGCTGTGCAGTGGAATAACGTCCTTACAGGATGTCTCCAATTTACAAGCTGACCTCAATGCCCTGTGTAATTGGGCAACTATGTGGCAAATGAGGTTTAATGTTGATACATGTAAGGTTCTGCACTTGGGGGATAAGAATATGCATTCCATCATACATACTGGGGGGGGGGGGTACAACTGGGGGAATCAATGGTGGAGAAGGATCTGGGGGTTCTGGTAGATCACAAGCTTAATAATGACATGCAATGCCAAGCTGCGGTTTCTAAAATCCTCTCTTGTATTAAAAGAGGTATAGACTCCAGACAGAGAGAGATATCATATTACCCCGGTACAAATCATTAGTAACACCTAATCTGGAATATGCAGTTCAGTTTTGGGCACCAATTCACGAAAAAAAAATTGGGGAACTGGAGAAAGTGCAGAGAAGGGCAACCAAACTGATAAGAGGCATGGAGGAGCTCAGCTATGAGGAAAGATTAGAGGAACAGAATTTATTCTCTCTTGAGAAGAGGAGATTAAGGGGGGATATGATCAACATGTATACATACATCAGTGGTTCATATAGTGAACTCGGTGTAGAGTTATTCACCCTGAGGTCCTCACAGAGGACAAAGGGGCACTCTTTATGTCTGGAGGAAAAGAAATTTAATCTCCAAACACGGAAAGGTTTCTTCACAGTGAGAGCTGTAAAAAATGTGGAATAGACTCCCTCAAGAGTTGGTTCTGGCCAGCTCAGTGGATTGCTTTAAAAAAGGCCTGGGTTGTTTCTTAGATACACAGAATATAACTGGATACTAACATTTATAGGTAAAGTTGATCCAGGGAATATCCAATTGCCTTTCGGGGGATCAGGAAGAAATTTTTCCCCAGCAGGAGCAAATTGGATCATGCTTTGCTGGGTTTTTTTTGCCTTCCTCTGGATCAACTATGGGTGTAGGATTATAAATTTTTTTTTTATATGGTTGAACTGTATGGACTTTTGTCTTTTTCCAGCCAAACTAACTATGTGTACTTTACTTGTGTGTGTGTGGTGTGACAGAGGTGCTTTAATTTTTTTTTTATTTTTATTTATATTCACTTTTTTTAGGCTTTTTTTAATTTCATGGTATTGCTATCGAAAGAAGGTGAACCATGTGATAGTATTGGACAGGTCCTCTTTATGGAGCAATTGGATCCCCAGTGTCTCCCCTGACCTCCATTGCAGATAATCAATCAAAGATTGTGCTTGATTTGCTGCTACCCCAGCTATAGTAGCTGGGGAATGACAGCTCTAAGCCCAAACGTGATGAAATCCTTGTCATAATACAGACAGTAGAGAATGGTGAACAAATATTCCCCAGTGTCCTCCTAAAGCTGTTTTCTGTGCCACCTGGATCACTATAACATCAGTTAAAAAAATGAATACCAAGCTCATGGCTTCCGTGAGCTTTCTTTAATCCTATGTCGACTAGGTTGTTATAAACGTACCTTGGTAGACAAAGTGTTAAGGGTACATCTATAAAAATAACATGTTATTTAAAGACATTATATGTGCAAATGCTGTGTGTTTGCAAGAGGGATGCATGTTTTATGTGTATCGCGGGAACATGTGCAATATAGCGCACATTCCCGAATTGCACAAATCTGAACCAAGCCTAAAGCCCACTACATACTGTGAGAAAGTTGGATGAAAGATCGTCTGATTTTCCATGAAGGTGCATATCATGACGTAGCCAAAAATGGTATTAACTTGTACGAAAAATTTCAGCTGAAGTAGGCAAACATTCTTTCTTGTGTTTGATTTCTATGTTCGTTGCACACCTTCTTCCAGGTCATTCATTGCTTCTGATCATGCAGTTTGTTCTATTTGATTAGTTCCGTATGATGACTGTACACATTGAATTAAATTTGGATGTTGTGTTCACATGCGATAAAAATTTTCTAGCTTGCCTCTTCATTTTTTTTTTTCCCCAAATAGTCGGAATCGGCTATTGAAAGCGCTATACTAACAGATAAGTGACTGATTGTTCCTTGGATGGGTCTTAAAATGCAAATGTTTTCAAGTAAGCTGAGTAAATTGGCCTTCACCTTCCTCGCTTTGGCCAAAGAGTTATTGTTTGCTGGCTTGGAATTAAAACTCACCATACACTTTGCAATCAAATGGTAAAAAATTGTTTAGATCTACAAATAACTACGTAGTGCAAGGGTAAACTGGTTGGATAATAATTGATTGGTTAGATTAGGTAGGCGCTCATATTACAAATTTTGGTAAATCTAAAGTTGATTGTACCCCAGGTTGGGCCAGAGTGCAATACCCTTTAGATCTGTTGTGTGTTGCACTTTTACTAATTTGGCCAGACACCTGGAGTACTTAACCACTTCAATACTGTACACTTTTACCCCCTTTCTGCCCAGGCCAGTTTTCAGCTGTGGGAGCTCTTACAGTTTGAATGACAATTGCACAGTCAAGCAACACTGTACCCAAACTAAATTTTTATCACTGATTCCACACAAATAGAGCTTTCTTTTGGTGGTATTTATTCACCACGGGGTTTTTTATTTTTTGCAAAATAAATAAAAAAAGACCAAAAATTTGGAAAAAAAAAACAAGTTTTTCTTACTTTCTGTTATAAGATTTTGCAAATACATAATTGTTCTTCATAAATTTAGGCCAAAATGTATTCTGCTACATTTCTTTGGGGAAAATAACCCAAATTAGTATTTATTATTTAGTATGTAGGAAAGTTATAGAGTCCACAAACTATGTTATATATCTGAAAATCGATCAGTCCCTGATGTACTGACGGCCGATCTCATTTCTTGAGGCCCAAAAATGTCAGAACTGTACAGATATCCCCCAAATTACCGCTCTTTAGAAAGTAGACAGTCTACTGTGTTTAGGAAGAGGCATGACAAATTTTTTAAAGTTGTAATTTGTTGTCATGTTTTTTGGAAAATTAAGAAATTAAAAAAATGTTCTAATTTTTTTTTGCACATACTGTCACTATGCAGTACAGCCTCATATAACTGGTGTGGTGGTGATCATAGACTCTGACTGATGACCATGATAAATATAAATATATATATATTTATTTATTTTTTATTAATTTTTTTTTTTCTTTTTTTACACTGTGACCAGAGTAATATAATGTTACCATAGTAACATTGTACTACTCTGAGGAAGTGATCAGTCTTTTTTTTTTCTTTTTCAGAAATAGGTACCTATACTGTCTAAAATCCAGTACCCTGTCTCATCCTGCTCTGCACATGTTGAGTTGCTCTCTATTTTTGGCACTATGACTAAAATCAGAGCAACTAGAGACCGATCTGCTAACAGCTTTAAGATTTACTTTTGCTGAAGGGAGAAGAAAGCAACAGGAATTATACAAACTGTGCAGAGGGTACACAGATGAAGGAGGGAGAAAAGAAAAACAGGAGAGGTGACAAGGAGACACAAAAGAGTTAAAATGGTTCTAAAGGCAGAAGATTTTTTACCTTCATGCACTCTCTGCATAATGGTAAAAAACCTTTTGTGTGCTGCTTCCATCACAGCCCCCCTAATGCTCACCTGAGCCCCCTATCGATCCAGCAATGTGCATGAGAGTCTCAAGACTCTCTCTCCTCATTGGCTGCCGCTGCTGTCAATCACAACTGTTTAGCCAACGAGGAGATAGTGGAGGGCGGGGGCCCAGCCACAGCTCTATATGTCTTATCGATATATAGAGCTGGGCTCGGGAGCAAGCACATGCCAGTGCCCCCATAGCAAGTGGCTTGTTGTTGAGGGCACTGGTCAAGGGGGAGGAGCCAGGAATGCCAGGATCCAAGAAGAGGATAGGGGCTGCTCTGTGCAAAACCATTACATAGAACAGGTAAGTATGACATGATTGTTTTTTTTTTTTTAAAAGCCAAACCTTAATACCACTTTAAATTTACAAAGATAGCATGTTATCTTATCTCCCTGATATTCTCTACTTTCTCCCTCATCTCAGCTAAAGCACTATAAAGCTTATGTCAGCCTTTCTTTCTATCTGAGCCAAGACAATCAATTAAGATGCAAATTTACAGAATTTAATTGCAGAAATTGACATCTGTTTTTAAAACCAAGGAGAGGGGGAAAGTTTACATTAAGGGACTGCTCTGGGCTTCAACAAAATGGTGGCTTCTAGCAGGAGTAAAAAGGAGCAATGTTGGAGGCAATTTGCAGTGCACAATAATTTTGGTAGCAGAATTATTAATGTGGAATGTACAGTATGTTCAGTATGTTAACTAGTTGCCAACCGCAGATAGCCGAATGACGGCTGCACTGCGGCCGGCCAGTTCTGAGAGGACGTCATATGATGTCCTCCCAGAACGCGCTCTCCTGCGCGCCCCAGGGGGCGCGCACCAGGCGATCTCCGTGATCGCTGTGTCCTACGGACACAGCTGATCACGTGATGTGGTAAAAGGCCAATCACAGCGGCCTTTTACCACGTGATCAGCGGTGTCCAATGACACGCTGATCAGAGGGAAATGCAAGTGCCGGTTCTCGGCTGCACTTTCCTCACGCTGTCAGATCATGAGGAAAGTACTGCCAAGAACCGGCAGTTGTCAGAGCGAGGATCGGCACCGATCATCAGGGCACTGATGATCAGTGCCCTGATGATCGGTGCCCAGCAGTGCCACCCGCAAGTTCCGCCCACCTGTGCCCAGCAGTGCGCCCACTAGCTCCGCCCACCTGTGCCCAGCAGATCACCCACCTGTGCCCAGCAGTGCACCCACCTGTGCCACTCTGCAGTGTCACACACCTGTGCCCAGAAGTGCCACCTACCTGTGCCCAGCAGTGCCACCCACCTGTGCCCACCCACCTGTGCCCACCAGTGCCACCCACCTGTGCCCATCAGTGCCACCCACATGTGCCCACCCACCAGTGCTGCCCACCAGTGCAGCCCAGCAGGGCTGCCAGTCAGTGCCGCCAGTCAGTGCCCAGCAGTGATGCCAGTCAGTGCCGTCTATCAGTACCCATCATCAGTGTCAGTGTCACCTATCAGTGCTGCATATTAGTGCCGCCTATCCGTGACACCTCATTAGTGCTGTCTATCAGTGCCGCCTATCCGTGCCACCTCATTAGTACTGCCTATCAGTGCCCTTTAGTGCTGCCTATCAGTGCCCATCAGTGCCGCCTATCAGTGCCCATCAGTGCTGCCTCATCAACGCACATCAGTGAAGGAGAAAAATTACCTGTTTGAAAAATTTTATAATAGAAACAAAGAAACTTTTTTTTTTTTCAAATATTTTGCACTTTTTTTATTTATAGCGCAAAAAGTAAAGCGCCCAGTGGCGATTAAATAGAAAGCTCTATTTGTGAAAAAAAAATGATCAAAATTTCATATGGGTACAATGTTGCATGACCGCGCAATAATCAAAGTGCGGCAGCGCTGAAAGCTGAAAATTGGCCTGGTAAATAAGGGGGTATAAGTGCCTGGTAGGCAAGTGGTTAAAGAACATTCATTGCTATCAAGGTATGGATAAAGTCCTGTTTTAATGAAGCTGTTGGGGAAGATGGTGGTGGTATCCAGGACAGAATTTGCTGCAAAGTGCTGGACCCTGCTGGACCAGAGTATTCTATGGTTCTCAATGGAGTCCCGGATGTGGACCCATAAAGATCGGTGTAGTTTGGTAATAGAACATTGGCACAGTGGCCCTTTAACACTCTGTAGCTAACAGCTATGTAGCTTGTCATCCCAAGGGAAGTTGAAATCTGTGCATCATGTACTTTTATTGGGCCGTGTTCACAAAGAGTACTTGAATTTGAAACTGTATTTGGCTTATCTGGGATTTTTTTGTATTTTATTGCTATTGATTCCAGATAATTCACTATTGAACGTAGACTGCTTATTGCACTGTAAGAAGGAATTGAAGGAGGTAATTAAACAATGACTTGGCTGCTTCTCCATATGACATGAGCCCACCAAGCTAGACAAAGTACTTCATGTTTGTCCAGTTCAGTCCTCCCAAATCTGAATAAAACAAGCACCTTCCCTAAAACAAAAAGCATGCTCAGCCAGGGACTATTGCTGCTAATTGCATGATAAACAAGACGGAGATTCATTGCTGTTGACTGACAGGAGCACAGCAGCTGATGCTGTAAAGGACAGTTGGTGTGACAATTCATAAAGTGCTCCACTTTACTGTACAGCTGATCAACTTCAATACCAACTTGAAATAATTGGGCTCTGAAGAAGTGTGCCTACATGTTGCAACACAATACACAACCTGTACATTGTAAATAATGGACATCTGTTTTGTATCATCCAACAACAGTTGCTGCTTTACATGACAAACATACTACAAGGCCTAATAGATTATGCATGCGCTCAGTCATGAAGTGTACCAGCTGATTTATTGTGAGTCAGCCATTAAATATTAAAATGAACCTCAGAGACTGCAGAGAATGCAGAGCTACTTGTACTACATGGATAGATAGATAGATAGATAGATAGATAGATAGATAGATAGATAGATAGATAGGATCCTATTTAGATAGATCAATAGCTATATAGTAGATAGATCGATAGATAACATTGCCGTAGATAGCTAGAAAGATCAACAGACATATGATAGATAGATAAAACGTAAATGTATTTTATTGGGATTTTATGTGATAGACTAACATAAAGTGGCGTGCCTTTGTGTTCGGCCCCCCTGAGTCAACACTTTGTAGAACCCCCTTTCGCTGCAATTACAGCTGCAAGTATTTTTGGGGATGTCTCTACCAGCTTTGCACATCTAGAGAGGGACATTTTTGCCTATTCTGATTTGCAAAATAGCTCAAGCGCTGTCCGATTGGATGGAGAGCGTCTGTGAACTGCAGTTTTTTAAATCTTGCCACAGATTCTCAAATGGATTTAGGTCTGGACTGTGACTGGGCCATTCTAACAAATGAATATGATTTGATCTAAACCATTAAATTGTAGCTCTGGTTGTGTGTTTAGGGTTGTTGTCCTGCTGGAAGGTGAACCTCCTCCCCAGTCTCACGTCTTTTTCAGACTCTAACAGGTTTCTTCTAAGATTTGGCTCCATTCATCTTCACATCAACTCTGACCAGCTTCCCTGTCCCTGCCGAAGAAAAGCATCCCCACAACATGATGCTGCCACCACCATGTTTCACGGTGCGGATGGTGTGTTCAGGGTAATATGCAGTGTTAGTTTTCTGTCACACATAGCGTTTGCTTTTAGGTCAAAAAGTAAAATTTTGGTCTCACCTGACCAGAGCACCTTCTTCCACATGTTTGCTGTGTCCCCCACATGGCTTCTTGCAAACTGCAAACAGGACTTCTTATGGCTTTCTTTCAACAATGGATTTCTTCTTGCCACTCTTCCATAAAGGCCACATTTGTGGAGCGCATGACTAATAGTAGTCCTGTGGACAGATTCTCCCACCTGAGCTGTGGATCTCTGCAGCTCCTCCAGAGATTGAACAATGCTCCATGAGATGCTCAAAGTTTTGGGATTTTTTTTTATAACCTAACCCTGCTTTAAACTTCTCCACAACTTTATCCATGACCTGTCTGGAGTGTTCCTTGGTCTGATGCTGTTTGTTCACTAATGTTCTCTAACAAACCTCTAAGTGCTTCACAGAACAGCTGTATTTATACTGAGATTAAATTAAACACAGGTGGACTCATTTTACTAATTAGGTGACTTCTGAAGGCAATTGGTTCCACTAGATTTTAATTAGGGGTATCAGAGTAGAGGGGATTGAATACAAATGCACACCACACTTTTCAGATATTTATTTGTAAAAAAATTGGAAAACCATTTATCATTTTCCTTCCACTTCACAATTATGTGGCACTTTCTGTTGGTCTATCACATAAAATTCCCATAAAATAGATTTACGTTTTTAGCTGTAACAAGACAAAATGTGTAAAAGATAGATAGATAGATAGATAGATAGATAGATAGATAGATAGATGAGATAAATAAAAGATAGATATACTAGATAATAGATATTTTTAGATAGATACAGTAGATAGATAGATAAAGATGAACAGATAGATACTGTAGATAGATAGATAGATAGATAGATAGATAGATAGATAGATAGATAGATAGATACAGGGCTTTTTTTTTCTGGCAGAACGCACCAGAACGCCATTCTGGCACCTCCAACAGAGACAGTGTGGGAGACACTGGAAGCATAGGCCTCTGAATCAGTGTGTACACTCTGTTAGCAGGGCGGACACAGAGTGATCATATGGTAGATGATGCAACTCAGCTCCAGTTGCAGCCTGAGAGCGGAAAGCTGACTAATCTGTACTCAGCTTCGCCTCTCCCTGCAGATCGGAGGCACGTTTTGGCAGCAGCCGCCAGTCAATTTGCTGTGTATCAGAGGTGCAGATCAATCGTGTGAGTAGCTAGCCTGTCTTCCTCCTGACTGACTGCTAACTGTGCTTACTGCAGTACTATTCACTGTGGTCTGACTCTGTGGAGATAAGATTTAAAAATTTTTTTGGTAAATGACAAGGCTGCTGATTGGGACTGTGCTGTGCCTGTGACTGTCTCTTTGCTGGACTGGGCTGTCTCTTTGCTGGATGAGGGATGTCTCTTTGCTCTCAATAAGAGAATGTATATTTGCTGGATATTGGGGATGTCTTTTTGCTGAATATGGGGATGACTCTTTGCTGGATATAAAACAAATAAAATGGTGTTGCGCTAATATCAGTAGTACTAAGGACACAATAATTTGAAGAGTGGGGAGACAGAAAAACTAAATAACCCCAAAACAGAGGTGATAAGTATAAAGGCCTGAATCCAGACCTAATTAGGTGCAATATGAACTGTGACAAAGAAAACGTGAGTAACAATCAGCAAGTGAACATAAATAATACATAAAAATGTAAAGGCGTGAACCCAGACCAAACTAAGTGCAATATAGATTGTGATTAAATACAATGTGAACAATAGTCACCAAGTGAACATAAATAATATATTCAACATTATAGGACTGACACTTCCTAAATAAAAGTGCACAAAAACACAGTGCAAAGAAAACTGTGCCAAAATCAAATGGAAAAAAATATGTACAAAACTAATCATACAAGGTGCATGAAAGTATAAATGCATGAAACTATAAATGCATCATAAATAATACATAAAAATGTAAAGGCCTGAAACCAGACCAAACTAAGTGCAATATGGATTGTGATGAAAACAACGTGCACAATAATCAACAAGTGAGTATAAATGATGTATTCAACATATTAGAACTAACACGCCCCAAATAAAAGGGCACAAAAAGCTCCATGCAGAGAAAACTGTGACAATCAAAAAGCAAAAAAATAAATGTGCAAGACTAATCATACAAGTGCATGAAACTAAAAATGCACCTTATAATCAGGATTGATGCCAGTGAAAAACACACAGTGGAAATAAACGTGCGTCAATAAGCACAAAAAATAATTAATTGGTTGCCGACCAGCCACTGTATAAAAATGGCGACAGGGCGGCACCACTGCGCAAAATCACGGTTTAAAATGTAATTTTGCAAAACAGGTAGGGGGTGTGCGCGAGGTGCGCACCCGCCCTACCCGTGCCGTCGATCGCGGCCGCAGGTGTCAATCACCGGGTCCCGGACGGTCATTACCTGACCGGGAGCATGGCTACAGTGTTTACACTGCAGCTCTGCTCCCTGTCAGTTCCCAACACACTGAGCCTGAGAGCAGAGTTTAGCTCTCGGGATCAGTATGTTATTGTGAAGTACACACCCCCGCCCACTAGTAAAACACTCCCCTCACACAGTTAACCCTTTGATTGAATAAAAATGTTAACCCCTTCCTCCCCAGTGCCATTAGTACAGTGTCAGTGGGTTTTTTTTCACTGATCACTGTATTGATGTCAGTGACCCCAAGTCAGTTCCCCCCCAGTGTCAAAATGTCCGCCGCAGTCCTGCAGCCCCTCCATAAGTCGCTGATCGGCGCCATTATTATTATTAAAAAAAATCCCAGTATCTTTCCCGCCATTTGTAGACGCTATGACTTTCACGTAAACCAATTAATTCACACG